TCTTTCCCTCTTTGTCTCTCTAATGAGCACATGCACCCTCTAACAACAACAAAGTTACATACATGTGCATATATACATCTATACACACATATATAATGATATATTTTCTATAGTACGATATGATATATTATATATAACACATTTAAAATATTACATAATACAATATATATATCTAAATTGCCTGAAGGAGTCCGTACAGGCTTCTTTGAGTGGTAACACTGCCCTGGAGGGCAGGGGTTGACGAGGCAGAGGGCACCAGCCTAGGACACCGAGGGAACAGAAGGGCGAGCCACAGACTCATCGGCCAGATGCATCTCGGAGAGGGCCCGGTGAAATGAACGTGGGCCAGGTGCCCGACTCGTGTTATCTCCTTTAATCATCTCAACAGCCCCTATTATTATATCCATTTTACAGGGTGGTTAAGGTGCTTGCCCTAAACCACACAGTTGGGAAACAGGGGCACCAGGATCTGGCTGGTGCCACAGAGTCTTCCACTCTGAACCTATAAAGGTGAGGGGGCATACCGATGTGGAAAGAGAGGCCATGAAAACAGGAGGGCTGACTTTTAGTGCGGAAGGTCCTTTGTAGTCCCCAGAGTGAGTCTGAGTTTCAGTGAGATAATGCATTTTAGGGTGCTGTAAAGTGCCGTGCGATGGGGAGATGGTATCAGAGCTCAGGGAATAAAGCACCTACCTTAGTTTCCAAACAACCTCTACTGCAGTAATGCAAACCATGGAGGCTTCCAGGCTTCTGGCAGTCAGGGAGCAGTGGCAAACGCGAGGACTTGAGCTTCGGATGGACCTGAGCTCTGCCCTTGGCTGCCTGGCCCTGAGGACATCCCTTCTCTGGGCCTCAGTTCCTTTCTGTCTTGCTTGCTCTCTCTCTCCTTTTTTCTTTTCTTTTCTTTTTTTCTTTCCTTTCTTTTCTTGATTTTGTCATAGGGCACCTGCTTGCACCAGAGACAGAAGGAGGGAAAAGAGAGGATAGTCAGGCCACAATCCCATCTCCATTCTTCTCTTCGGACTTTGGTTCTGTACACACGTGCACCTGGTGTGGTTTTCAAGCTGCCAGGTCCACGCCTCCAACCACAGTAGACCATGTAGAAATCCCGTACCTGAGCTACCACCTTGTTTCTCTTATCTTTAAAAAATACAGAGGTCCATGGGAACCAGCAGTTAGCGTAATGGCTATGTCATTGGACTCCCACGTAGTCGACTGCGGTTCGCGTCCCGGACCCGGAGGCTTAAAACTCACACTGGGCGCGTGTGCATGCATGCCCAAGATCCCGAGAGGAGAATGGAAGAGAAGGGATTGGGGCGTGACTATCCTCCCTGGGGGGTGATTTCTCGCTTTCTGTTTCTATGTCTCTCTCTGTCTGGCGAGCGCACGTGCCCTATAGAGAAAATCTCTCCAAAAAAAAAAAAAATTCTGGTTGGATTCAGTTAACCAATCAAATTTTTAAAAATTAGGAGCCAGCAAGTGGTGTAGTGGTTAAGGCACTGGACTTGCACATGACTAACCATGGTTCAAGTCCTGAACCTGGAGGCTTGCTTTCTCGCTTTCTCTTTCTCTCTGTGTCTCTCTCTGGTGAGCACACAAAACCTGTAGCAAATTAAATTATCATCATAATAATGATAAATCAAATTAAATAAATAAGTTATTATTTTAAAAACATGAGTTGAGCTGGGGCCAGCTACTTGTCTGGTTAAGGCAGCTGAATCCCACATGGCCAAACTCACGGTTTGAGTCCTGGACCTGGCAGCTTGAGAAACATGTTGAGTGAGTGTATGTGTGTTATCAAAATCCAAAAGGAAGGAGACATGGAAGATAAGGGATTGTGGGGTAGCCATTCCCCATGGGAGAAGGGGCGTATGCTCTCCTCTCGTCTTCCTCTCTCTCTCTCACACCCTCTAGAAAAAAAAAGGTGATCATTTTTTCATGTCGATATCAATTGCTTGTTACCATATCTCTCAGACAGAAAGTGAAAAGCCCATTAGATGGTATAAGTACAACGTTTATTCTTAAAACTCTACCACCTTTTAAAAAATCAGTTAAATACAAGTCTAGTTAACTGAACGCGACTTATGTCTCACTTGAGAAGATAACGGTCATCTCAACACTTCCATCTTGTTTTATAAAAGCTCACCCTGTATACGATACTCTGTTTGTGAAGAAAAACTGACGCAGGGCAGCTCTTTGGAGAGGGGGTGTCTGCTGTATGAAACCAGCAGAGCCAAGCTGTCAATGTCTGTCCAGAGCCTTCTGTCAGGAGCTGGAATTCTACAGCTGTCTTCCCCTCATGCCGTAAATGACTCAGCTCACTCAGTCAGAGGAGTCCAGCTCGGGGAGAAGTCACTGGTTAGTGAAGCGCCCGGTCCTCAGAGTTGCCTGGAGTTAGGTAACATAACAGGAATGGTACGGCGCACTTGATTAGCTAAGCGCGCATTCTTAGCTCCCTCAGTATCAAACAGGAGAAGCCAGGGTCTGCTGTGGTAACAAAAACTCCCCAGTCTCAATGGTTGAACAGGCAGGCATTTATTTCTTCCTTAATGCTCTCGTTGGTAGGCAGGTGGTCTCTGCTCATTGTAGTCACTCAGGACCCAGGCAAACAGACTTCATTTTAATACACGAAGTTAAGAAATGTGCATACACATCTGTTGGAGAGAGACAGAGACAGTGAAAGGGAAAGTGAGAAATCACCCCTCCACCTGGGGATGGCCATGCCTCAATCCCTTCTCCTCCATTTTCCTCCTAGGATCTTGGGCATGCACACACACGTGCCCAGCATGGTTTTCAAGCCACTGGGTACAGACCTTGAACTGCAGTCCATCATGTGGGAGTCCAGCAATGTAACTGCTATGCCATCTGCTGGCCCCAGAAACATGGCAAATTCTTTTTTTTTTTTTTTGAAGAGGTTTTTGCTATAGTGTACATGTGCTCGCCAGTCAGAGAGAGACAGAGAGACAGAAAGCGAGAAATTACCCCCCAGGGGGGTTGGCTATGCCGCAATCCCTTCTCCTCCATTCTCCTCTGGGGATCTTGGGCATACACGCACACGTGCCCGGCGTGAGTTTTAAGCCACCGGGTCCGGGACGTGAACCACAGTCGAACCCAGAAACCTAGCCATTATGCTAACGGCTGGTCCCAACATGGCAAATTCTTAAAGCCTCCATTTGGCAGCACTATATGAGGCTTCCGCGCACATCTTATTGGACAAAGCAAGTTGCATAGTTACACCTAACTTCAAAGGCAGTGGGGAAGCAGAATCCTGCCATGTGATTCTATGTTACCACTAAGCAAACTAGGTGAGCTGAGGCAGGTGCATTATGCTTTGTCAGCCTCAGTTTCAGTATCTGTAGATTAGGGGGTTGTCTGGACGCTACGTTAATTCATCCATCAGTCTGTCAGTGAGTACGATATTCTGATTCGAAGCTCAAACTCTTGAGTCAGCTTACCTGGGTTTATTCTTAGTTAAGTCATAGATCACCCGTGTTAGGCAAGTTATTTCCTATCTTCTGGACCTCGCTTTCCTTATCTGTTTTACGGGGAGATAATAGTGCTCAGCTCCTAGAGTCTCGTGTGGGTATAATGTACGCATTACATAAGTGACGCAGAACAGGAAAGTGCTGGAACAGTTCTGTGTGGTGAGTGTTTGCACGTGTTCGCTTTATTATTCATGTACCATTTAGCCGCTTATTCAACAAATGCATATGTATGGTCTTTCCTGGTTATCTTGGAAGGCTCTTTTGAGAACTGAAGGGAAAGAAAACACACAAAAAATGCAAAAAAAAAAAAAAATCCCCAAAACCATTGCAAATGATGGGCTACGCACAGGATAGGGTAGTAAAGAGAGGGAGCAAAACCTGGATTGATTTTTGCTCCTGTTTCTTGAGCACGTAGTATGGGGTAGGCTCTACAGCAAATGCTTTCACAACAACCCTAAAGGTCATCTTAGAGATGAGGAAACTGGGGCATCAGGAGATCAGATAGCTTGTCCTGTGGCCCACGGATGATGGGGCTCATCCAGGATGTAGACTTGGGATAGGGTCCGCCTTGCATAAAATCCTCTATTTTTCCCGAGAATCATCTCATCATTTAACCTCCTTGGCTCTCCTACTAGACAGAAAGTTTCTCCAAGGTAGAAGGTGGTCCCCTTAATTCTTGGAGTTTATTAGGTGCCCATTTCTACCCCCAGCAACTCCACGGGGCGGCCATTGGAAAGAAGAGAAGGAGAGAGACTTAAGTCAAATAACTGCGTTGGCTAAAAACCCCCTCTGCCCCAGCTGGCTGATAGAAAACCTCTTACGGCTCCAACTTCCCTGTTAAATCAGTCACACAGTCCTTTCCGCCCATAAAGCTCCGCGACTCCTAGTCTTCAAACACTTCCAGTTTAATAGATACCTGTTGACTTGATAAGAAAGTGTAACAGCCACACTTAAAAGGCCACTTATTATCAATTTGGGGCCATTTGACTTTTCTGTGATACACTTCACAGTCAGAGGGAAGGAAAAGATACTGACATTATATATCTTTCTTCGCCTAAACACAAAGTTTCCATTTTGTTTTTGGCATTGCCAAACCAAAGGTGAGCTGGGAGTAGGAAGGAGAAGGAGAAACCCAGCCAAACAGTGGAGCCCATGAGCCCTTGTGCAATGTGTCCAGAGGAAATTTCCCAAAGCTGAGGCCCTCGCTGGGTAAGAAAGCAGACCCAGCCTGACCTCTGGAGAAAAGTCCCCTGGAGACAATGTCGTGGGGCCATGCACTTCCAGCTTGCCAAAGCAGAACATTTGCAGCAAACACAATGGGCGCGGGGTAAACCAGTCCTTCCTGCAGACACCAGCCTGCAGAAAACAGGCTTGGGAGCGGCTGGCCAGGCTGTCGCTGTACGTGCCACTCAGCTCGGGAGCCGTCAATATTGCCATAGCAAGTAGATTGCTCAACCCGTGAGCGGTGGAGACTTGGCCACTCATGGCCACTCCAGATGCGAGCTCCGCTCGCGGTATCGCCCTTCCCTCTCTCACATGATATCAAGCGCCCATGTGATGTGGCGGTGATGCTCGATACGGTGTAGACGTCCGGTCTTTTATTTCAGACCGGTGCTCTGAGGCAGGTACCCTTCTCCCCATCCTGCAGAGACGCCCCTGAAGCTCTGGAAGGTTGCGTCCCTGACTACCGGTCACTGTGCTTCTAAGTAGCAAGGTCAGGATTCCCACTCGTGTTCTGTGGTTCAAGTCCATTCCTGAGACTTGTTATGGATCTGAAGTACTGGGAGGGGGTACCAGGCTTCCAAGCTGGCGTCTCACCCCAGGGACAGCACTGGTTCTGCCCGTCCCCTTTCTAACGAGGCTCTGAGGATGCTGGGACTTCCTGTGACTCCCCACCCTGGCTGGCTGAAGACGTGGATAAAGCACCTCGACTTCCTGGGAAGCTTCGTAGGCGCTGGTTTTCTGGGGGCTGAGTCACCGTAGCCTAGCCCATGCTCTTAGCTGGAACAGCCATAGAAAAGTGACTGGAAACTCCCCCAGGTCTTATCGAGCAGGAATTTGTTGAAGACAATTCAGCCGCATTCCTCAGCTTTCTCAGACCTCACCTTGCCCTAGGAGGACGAGGAAGGCTGGGAAGACAGGAGGGTGAAAACCAGCCCAGAATTCAAAAGTGCTTTCAATGCCAGGCCAGGGAACTGGCAGGCAGCTCCTGAAAACACACCAGTGGCAACAGCTGGCCTGCGAGGGCCCCCAGGCAGTGACCCTGTGCCCGGACGTCGCACCTCCTCCACAGCTCGCCAGCCCCTGCCCTGCACCATCCAGCCACCTTGATAGCTGGCACCAAGTGCCCGATGAGTTCAAAGAACTGAATGAGGCACTGAGGAGTCGTTTGCCCCACAAGTGGGGACGTAGGCATGTACCCAAGGTCCTGCTGCAGGTCAGCGGCTCGGCTGGAATTTGAGCCCAGGGCTGTTAGCCATCAGACCGAGTTCTTCACCAGGGCGCTGTGGCTTCGGCCTCTACATGGTGTTCCTTCAACACAGTAATCGCTGAACTGATTCTTTCCCGAGCAGGTGGTTAGTCTTTCCTGCCTTTGGACTCACTAGCTTCCCTTCTGAAGCTGGCACCCCGTCTTGGGCTGTGACAGCCATATTTAGAATCCTTCAAATATCGTCCTGAGAAGAGGCCATAAACAGAGAGAAGAACAGGAAGGAGGAAGGGTGGGGGAATGGCATGAGGTCACAGCTGCCGGCACCTGCCCTCCCGGGACCACAGCCCAGTGCAGCCTCGGGTTCTCTGTCCCCATCACCCCACTTCTGTTCAGAGCTGGGGATACCAGCTCCAAATATTTGGCAGGCTCACCCTGTGAGCCTGCAGCTGAGCAGCAGCTGCGACAGGGGAGTTGGGGAGGGACGCTGAGCTGAACAGGGAGCAGAAGCCACCAGGACCTTTGATTCTGTTTCCAAAGCACATTTTAAGCCCGCAGCATGCTGGTGCGAGGCTGCCAGCCCACAGCGAAGGATGAAGTGGATGCCTGCTCGGCGACAGGCAGGCGTTAGGACACAAGGGTGAAGTATTATTTACTCTCCGCGAACAGGTGCTGCCTGGGACTCACAGTCCTCTTTCGCTGCCTTCTCCTCTACCCACGTGTTCCAGCCCTCTCAGGCCCAGCTTCTCCCAAGGCCCCACGCAGCCCAGCCCTCGGCACCGCTTCCTTCTTGGCACTTGGCACGCACCGCTCCCAGGCGCCTGGCGGATGCCAGCAGGGGGCCGGCTCCTGCCTGGGACATGTGCTCGCTGGAATCGGCTCATTTTACATAAGCCGTTGGCACAGATGCCAGGTGATAACAACTCTCTGGCCCCAGTTAACCTGCCACCGTCCTGCTGTGCCACGCGGGTGCCACAGCAAGCCGCAGAGGACAATCGTGGAAGAATGTGGAAAAGAGTCAGAGGTCGCCAAGGGTCTTGAAGGGCAGGCAGTTTACCTCTGGAAACGTGCCCTGAGTTGTGAGCCGCTGTCCACTTTTCTCTTAGCAGAGAAATAAATAACCGTGCGGGCGAACTCCGGCTACCACCAGCTGGTCTTTCCTCCCCTGACGATGTGTTACTTCCTTAAAGCTCTGGTTGATAAACATGCAAGAGAAAAGGTCCAGACTCCTTTGCTGATTCACAAAACAATCCCACCACCGCAGCCAGGCCCGTTCTTTGCATAGTTTGATTAAGCAGGAGGCCCGGAGATCTCGCTGGGCTCATGGACTCGCTACATGCTACCTTTACCCCGTGACCTCTTTCTGAGCTCCTTGACCCTTCTACACATTGCTGCCAACTGTGAACCAGATCCTGGGCCCAGGGATGCAGACAGGGAAAAGTGTGCCCAACCTGGCAGTGGAGGCAAAACAAACATGAGGGCACTTGAAAAGGTTCATGGGAAGATATTAAAGTATGAGCATAGTTAGGTGCAAAAATTTTTGAAATCCATGCACTTTATCGTGAGATACATTTTTCTTTTCTTTTCTTTTCTTTTTGGAGAGGTTTTTGCTGTAGGGCACATGCACTCGCCAGGAAGAGAGAGACAGAGAGACAGAAAGTGAGAAATCACCCCCCAGGGGAGATGGTCACACCGCAATCCCTTTTCCTCCATTCTCCTCTTGGGATCCTGGGCATACATG